CCTGGTGCTTCTTGACCCGGTGGGTGGCGACGTGGAGACCGCGGGCGCCGGTCAGGCCGCAGGGCCCTTGTGGAGGGTGGAGACCGAGGCGGGCCCTGGGCTCCAGGGGGGCGAGAGCGGCGCGAACCCCGCGGGCCGCCCTGCACTGGGCCCCCGCTGCCTGTCCGCGGTTCCTACCCCGGCCCAGATCCCCGCCCCAGGCCCTGGCTCCGCTGCGGCCTTCTCGGGCACTGTCACTATCCACAACCAGGACCTGCTTTTGCGCTTCGAGAACGGCGTCCTCACCCTGGCCACGCCCCCGCCACCCGCCTGGGAGCCCGGGGTCGTGCCTGCCCAGCAGCCCGGGTATCTGATCGCCCCGCAAGCCGGGTTCCCGCACGCCGCGCAGCCCGCTGACTGCCCAGAGCTGCCGCCAGACCTTCTGCTGGCCGAGCCGGCCGAACCCGCCCCCGCCCCCGCCCCCGCCCCGGCCCCAGCGCCCGAGGAGGTGGCGGAGGGCCCAGCCGCCGCCCTGGGCTCCCGCGGGCCACTGGGCTCGGGCGCAGGCGTGGTACTGTACCTGTGCCCCGAGGCACAGTGTGGGCAAACCTTCGCCAAGAAGCACCAGCTGAAGGTGCACCTGCTGACTCACAGCAGCAGCCAGGGACAGAGGCCCTTCAAGTGCCCCCTGGGCGGCTGTGGCTGGACCTTCACCACCTCTTACAAACTCAAGAGGCACCTGCAGTCGCATGACAAACTGCGGCCTTTTGGCTGCCCTGCGGAGGGCTGCGGCAAGAGCTTCACCACCGTGTACAACCTCAAGGCTCACATGAAAGGCCACGAGCAGGAGAACTCGTTCAAATGCGAGGTGTGCGAGGAAAGCTTCCCCACGCAGGCCAAACTCAGCGCCCACCAGCGCAGCCACTTCGAGCCCGAGAGGCCTTACCAGTGCGCTTTTTCTGGCTGCAAGAAGACATTTATCACAGTGAGTGCTCTGTTTTCCCATAACCGCGCCCATTTCAGGGAACAGGAACTCTTTTCCTGCTCTTTTCCCGGCTGCAGCAAACAATATGACAAGGCTTGTAGGCTGAAAATTCACCTGCGGAGCCACACCGGCGAGAGACCTTTCCTGTGTGACTTTGACGGCTGTGGCTGGAACTTCACCAGCATGTCCAAACTGTTAAGGCACAAAAGGAAGCATGACGATGACCGGAGGTTCACGTGCCCTGTGGAAGGCTGTGGGAAATCTTTCACAAGGGCCGAGCATCTGAAAGGCCACAGCATCACCCACCTGGGCACAAAGCCTTTTGTGTGCCCTGTGGAAGGCTGCTGTGCCAGGTTCTCTGCTCGCAGTAGTCTCTACATTCACTCCAAGAAGCACCTGCAAGATGTGGACACTTGGAAAAGCCGTTGCCCGGTCTCTACTTGTAATAAACTCTTCACATCCAAGCACAGCATGAAGACTCACATGGTCAAAAGGCACAACGTTGGCCAGGATCTCTTCGCTCAGCTTGAAGCGGCAAATTCTCTTACACCCAGCAGTGAACTCACCAGCCAAGGACAGAATGATCTCAGTGATGCAGAGATAGTATCTCTCTTCTCTGATGTGCCTGACAATAGTTCTGCTGCAGTGCTGGACACAGCATTGGTGAACTCTGGAATCTTGACTATTGACGCGGCCTCTGTGGGCTCGACTCTGGCAGGGAACCTCCCTGCTAATAATAGTAATTCCTTAGGGCAGGCTGTGGACCCTCGGGCCTTGATGGCCACCAGTGACCTTCCTCAAAGTCTGGATACCTCTCTCTTTTTTGGGACGGCAGCCGCTGGTTTTCAGCAGAGCCCGTTAGATATGGATGATGTCTCAAGCGTAAGTGCGGGCCCATTGGGATTTCTGGGCTCTTTGGCCATGAAAAACTCGAGTCCAGAGCCCCAAGCTTTGACACCCAGCAGTAAGCTAACAGCGGACACAGATGCTCTGACTCCTTCCAGCACCCTTTGTGAAAACAGTGTCTCAGAACTACTGACACCAACCAAAGCAGAGTGGAATGTGCATCCTGACTCTGACTTCTTCGGACAGGAGGAAGAAACCCAGTTTGGATTCTCCAATGCAGCAGGAAACCATGGTTCTCAGAAAGAAACAGATCTTATCACAGTGACTGGCAGCTCATTTTTGGTATGAACCAACTCTATTCATTCCTCGCCATGTGGCTTACTTTTATTGCAGTCAATTTTGAGGATGTTCTCTGGTCTAGATGTTTAAATGCAGTCATTTCTTTTTGATTTGCAAAAAGAACACGGCCCTGGACTGCAAGTTTGGAGATTTAAATTCTGATCTTGAGTCTGAAAACTGACAAGTTGTGTGACCCTGAACAAGTCACTTAACCTATCTGAGCCTTAATTTCCTTATTTATAAATTGAGGTGGTTGGAATAGATTGTTTCTAAGCTGTTTCTGCTCTGTGATTTCTTGATAATGTTTTCTTGAAAAATATGAGGTTGTTTTTCAATGATGTGGCATGTTCTTTTTTCCAAAAAGGCATAAAATACATTATATTATTTGCATCCATGTACTTTGCACCCAACTTCGATAATTATCAATTCGTGTTAATCTTACATAACTGATCCCTACTGACTCTCCCTCTTCCAGTATTATTTTGGAACAAATACCAGACATCACATCATTTCATGTATAAATATTCTATATTATTCTCTAAAAGTTATTGACTTTTTTGAAAAGAGAAATAATTCCATTATTGTAAGTAACGTTTACAATAATTTTTTAGTGTCAATAGATATTCGTTGAGCACTCAAAATTCCAACTGTCTCATTAATGCTACTTCAAAAATATTTTTAATTATTGGGACATCAGTAAGTCTTTTACGTATCTTTTTAATGTATTTTCCCTTGATCTCTTTCTTTTTGTTCCTTGAAATTTTATTTGTTGACAAAATGGGCTTGTGTCACATGTAGTATTTGCCACCATCTAATTTTTTTGCTGATTACATTTTTATGGTGCTGTATACTTTTACTCTGTTTCATTAATTTGGTAGTTATAGCTAGAGACTTGATGAGACAGAAATATGGTTTTGGCATGAATGTGTCATAAGTTATGTTGTATTTTTTATTACAAGGCACAAAACTGGTGTGATTCTTTTTTGTGATATTAACAGCTATTGCTGATGAATGCATTAATTCATGATGCATTGTTCTTGTAGAATTATTAATGATTAGGAGAGGAGGAAATTATGTTTAAGGCTGTTCTAAAAGTTCAATATAAATATTCAATGCCAAAATATTTTTTTAAGTAGTGGTAAAACTAACAAGACAAAAGGATGGCAAAAAATATGTTGATCGTTCTCAGTTTATTTTTCTGATCTCTTTTGGTGGTGGGAGGCTGTGTTGTAAAAATTTCTAGCCAGGACGTTGACATTGACATGAAACAGACCTAGAGTTCAATTTGAGCTCTGAGTTGTTAGTAAATGGCCTCAAATAAGTTAGTCTCACTAAGCCTCAGTTTCCTAGGAGTGCACTGGTCATAGCAGTGCACATACACACACCATAGACTTTTCTTCTTTTCAAGTTTTTCACATTAAGGAAAAATGCTAAATGTTTTGGCATATTTTGATGAATTTCTATAATCTTTTTATCCTCTCAGTTCTTCCTTCTGCAGGAGAGAAATTTGGATAATTTAATCATATTCACATGCAGTCAATAAAGCTTTCTGAGGTTTAGAGTGAAGTAGAAAAGGGATTCTGTTTATTTCCTCCACTGAATAATTTCCCACCATAAAATTACTGTGAGAAATGCCAGGAGTGGAGACAGTGTCCACGTGTATATCAGTATATCTCTCCATTTGATCAATTTGTCACTATCTTTGCTGCTTTCAAAGTCAGGCTTCTCTGTCACTGTGATGCCTGCTATTCCTTGAAAATATGATAGTGGAACAGAGGAGATTTCTTCCTTTCTGTAACTGTAAATCTCATTTTTTGCACTTTCTCAGATTGGAAAGGGAAGTTTGAATCTGAACATTGTAGAAAACTGTCTTACATGAGTGTAGCATTTTGGAGTTTGTAAAACATCTTCACAACTTGTATATCTTTGTTGTTCAGAACAACAGCTGTGAAGTAGTTTTGGCAAAGTCTATATTATGTTTCATATAATGTTCCCAGCTCACATTGGCTTTGGCTAAGACTGACAATTCTTTATATAGCTTAAAATGAGAAAGAGAAATTTTTATCACCTTTTCCAGTCTACTCATCCAACCTTTATTATTCATTCAAAACTAGTTGCTTTTCCCCAAGTTAATTGGTTTCTGTTATCTTATGCTTACTTTCTCCCCACATCACTCCCTTTCATATGCATTCCAGTCCTTGCCATGTCTTTTTTCCTTTCTTTTTTTAAATAGATATATCTTTTTCCTGATGCTATCTCTGAGACATTCTTTTCATGGAACATTTTCTTTGAATACTTTAAATAACGTTTACTAAGTTTACATTGGGGTTCTGTGTGTACAGTAAAAAGTTATTTTCTGAGCTTAGATAATATTGTGTGTATATGTGATTCGGGTGATAAAGAAGAATATTTTCTATACTGTTCAAATGAGAAGTAGATTTCTGTTTCATTATTTTCATGTTTAAATAGTTTTTGCTAATACTCTCTTATTTGCTCTATTGTACTAGTCCAGTCGTGTTTGCATGTGGATGTCTGTGATGATGGTTATTATAGCACTTTGGCAGTGCACTAAAAATTTGTCACTATGAAATGTTTCTATATTGTGTGTTTTGGTATATACACACACCCACACCACACCCACATATATTTTCAAAGTAGTTGTTATTCATTTAGTAAAAGAAAAAAAATTAGACATACTTTTGTAAATTGGAGAAATGCTTGGAATCTCACTGTGTTTACTCCTTCAACAGTTTTCCCTCTTTGCTTTGGAAATATTTGTACTCATAAAGCATATTTCAAAAACGTCATACGCCTTTAAAATAAACCAATATTTTTTGTGTTTGGCAGATAAGTATGTCAAAGATTGAGATGAACACATAAGTTGTAAAAATTAAATAAATTTATAGACATAAAGATTTCATGCTGTGACTTCATTTCTTTGATTCCTTAAACCAATTAAAAATTATAATCTATGCTTTTTCCTACTCATTCTTGGAATTTTCAAAGGACAGATATTACTTTTCTCAAAGGGATATGCTTTTATTTGTTTATAGACTCACAAAGTTTCACTGAACAAATTTGTTCAAATGATTTCTCTTTCAAAACCATTTTCTAACAAAATGGTAGAGAACAGCTTTATGCTTTCAAGGTAATAAGTCTGATACTGTTGATGGTGGCATAAAGTTGCCATTACTCCTTTTAAATAATGGTACATGTTTTAATTTCATTTTATTTCCTTTTGGCTTCTTCTCAGTCACTGAGTTATTAAAAATTTTTGCCAATTAAAACCCAATAACATGATGGCTTAAAAAGAATTATGTTTCTAGGGGCCCCATTGATCATGTTGGTCATGAGTTAAAAAGTATATTGACCTTGGTGTTTTTTGCAAATTGGTATATTAACAACAAATACTTGAGTAGTTGTTGAGAAACATAGGTTTTTTTTTTTCTCTCTGACCTAAATTGTTTTAATTTTTATCCAGGAAACATGTGAAAGGGCAATTTGTAAGCTGGAGATTCCATTGTATATATTTCAAATTTACAAATATTTACTGAACATTATTATGCAAATTACAGCACAATTTATTGAGGATTCTATGGGAAGAGTAATATATGCATATGACCATGACCTTTCAGGAGATCACAGTTGATGGGAGAAGAAAGAAAAATAGTGTATTAAACAGTTGGAGAACAAAAACAGAAAAAAGTTTACTTCTGTATCCGAATGAAAGATAGATGAAAAAAACAGGATAATGAGACATTTATTCTGTATGTATATAAGAGCCAGTGAATATGTTTTAATAAAGGTAAATGTAAATTATGTTTTAGAACGGTAAATGTAAGGGAGGTGTACAATGTGAATTAGATGGGAAGGACTGGAGTAGTGAGAAAGCTTTTGCGGCAATTGAGGTGTGATATGAAGGATGAAGCCAGGGCTAAAGTAATGTCAGTGGGAATGAAAAGGAAGAAACACATACTGGAAATATTTTTATTTTTAAATATCTCCAATATTTGGAGAGATATTTCAAAAATCAGATATTTTAAATATATCTTCAAATATTGAGAGAGAGAGAGAGAGGAGAGGGAAATCATTACATTGAGAGAGAAATCAGGAATAGTAACTCAGGTTTCCTTGGAGACTGTAGTAATCATATTTTTACTAATAGAATGAGGGATGTAAGGGATAGTTTTTTTTTTCAGGAATAAGTGTATAATGATGATGTGTTCAGTTATAATAATTGATAAAACATTTATGTCCTGCATAAGCTATTTATACTGTGGTTTATTCACTTTCTAGAGGACCGTACAAAGCTACTTTCTCTTTTTTGGTTTCCTCTGGCATTTGCAGAACTACTTACACAGTTATGATTCTCTTACTTAGTTTTGAATTACCAGAGACCGCCCCACCTTATCTTGAACAATCTAGATCTACACTGACCAATATGGTACATACTAGGTATATGTGGCTATTCAGCACTTGAAATGTGTCTAATTCAACAAAAGGACTGAATTCTTAATTTAACTAAGTTATTTGAAATTTAATTTTTAAAATAAGCAGCGTAACTGTTTTTTAGGCATAGCTCTGTTGTTTTGGTAGGATTACACTTTAGTCATTGACAACTTACCATCGAAAATTAGATGTTTTGTGAATATACAAACTAGATTTCAAAGTCTTAGTATAAAAAAGTTAAATGTCTCTTTAGTATTTTATTATTGGTTACACATTGGAGAATATTTGTAATAGATCTGGTTAAATGAGATATCCAAATTAATTTTACCAATTTCTTTTTACTCTTAAAAAAATTAGATTTACGGAGTACAAGTGCATGTTTGTTACGTGGACATATTAAATACTGGTGGGGACTTCAGGTGGCCCATTCTCCAGATAGTGAATATTGTACTCAATAGGTAACTTTTGAAGCCTAGCACCATTTCCCTGTCTCACACCTTTTAGTGTCGCCAGAGTTTATTATTTTAATCTTTGTGACTATTTACTCCCACACATAAATGAGAACATACAGTGTTTGGTTTTCTGTGTCTAGTTAGTTTGCTTAGGATGGCATTCTCAAGCTCCAATCCTGTTGCTGCAAAGGACATGATTTCATCAGTTTTTATGGGTGCCTAAAATTCCATGGTGTATATGTACCACTATTTCTTTATATAGTTAATCCTTGATGGGCACTTAGGTTGGTTCTGTTACTTTTCTACTGTGAATAATTCTTTAGTGAACATATGAATACAAGTATCTTTTTTCCT